AAATACTTTTATTTGTGTATCAATTTAAAAGCTGCATTTTTACCATCCTGTAAAATATATGAGCCCGGTTTTACAAAATGCTCAACTAATTCAATTCAGAAATTAATTGATCAACTTATTATTGGTGAGTTGGTATATAATACAATTTAAATTTTGTTCGGATGTTAAAAACTATACTAATTATTATAGGAATACCTGAAATAACAGCAACCTTTGGACCCTTTGATCCCATGCATGTGAAAAATATCATATTTAAACAAGATAGCACTGAAGCAGCATCGATTCGTGCTAATTTAACCAATGTATTCGTAAAAGGTTTTTCTAAGATGAAAATAAAACAAAGCAAGTGAGTTTGTAAAAAAAATATAATAAATTTCGGGTTTTTTATATCGAAATCATATAATAATTTCCATTCGTTCTAAATATTTGTTAATAAATCCATTCGTATATGCGCAAGATAGTACAGTGAATTGAACTTTAAAATACTTACACATTATAAGTTTTTATATTAGTAATTCTGCTTATAAGATATTTTTAGCTTTTATTGCCATGGACCTTAATTTCACAGTACAGTTAGGTTCAAAGTGATAAAAAAATATTAATAACATCACCAAAAGTTCATTTAACACATATTTAATTTAACAATTTAGTGACAGTGTATAATCGAATTTATGAATATCACATCAGAAATCATCTCATACAGCGGGACAGTCACCTATAATGTGAAGGACAAACTGACCCGACTGCTGACACTAATGGTTTTTTTCGCTACATTGTCATTTTGGAAGTGCCTAGTATATTTAAATTAAAGTTCACTATAGATAAAATAAGAATAAAATAAATTTTGAAAAATTGTGATATTTATTGAGCAATAAAGTCTTTTATAAATATTGTTAAACATAGCCAAAAAATCCTTTGCTAATATATATGTAATCATCATAAAGTTTTAAAGATAATCCACAAACTAAAGCTAAGGGTCACTCAAAAAAATATGTTCTAACCATATACTAGTTAAACTGACCTAATCATTTTATTAGAGAAATTTTATCTTATGAAGTAAAGAAGATATGAAAACGAAACATGTGGTATGGTTCAACAAACATGATACGTCTAGTAAGCATGTTTGGACCTGAGACTTAGTTAAAATCTCGTTAAATCATCCAAATTATATTTCTGAATGTGGCATATTTTTAATGCTGTCTATAAAAAAAATAATATTGCGCCAAAAGCCACTACTCTAAAAGATTTTTTGCTTACTATTCTATAAGTTCTTTTAAAAAAAATTCCTCCTATCTCTACTATCCGTTGATGGAGTTCTTCTTAGTTAGAGGATTTTCTATACTCCTTTTATAGATTGGATTCTCTTTCTATTGTATTAAATATTTACGTCTCATATTCAATTTCGCAGCAAGGCATCAATATATAAAATAAAAACCAAATGAAATAATTTTAAGAAAGGTTTTATAGGAGTCTTCCTTTATAATAAATTTACACTACTGTAACATTTTATTTTCAAGTTGTCTCAATACCTTTTGGGGTATTATGTTTTGGCGAATATTTTGAGAAGCTTTCCACAACACTCTACTTTTTGATCAAACTAACAATATTCCTAAACTTAATGCATTGTTATTTTGTTTTAATAAAGTATATACATAACGAAAATATTATTATCAAGGGATAAGAAAATACTAACCTAGGCAGAATTCGATTTTTGAGGTTATAAAATATTTTAGATAAAATAAATAACAAAACTGGAAGAATTCTCAAAATTATAACCCTTTTGTGAAAGTTACAAATCTGTTAGTGTATTAATTGTAGCCTAACTGTTGCTAAGAGTAATTGTAATTTAATCTAAATTCTTTACAGAGTGAGTAAAAAAGATTTCAGCTGGGACACGAAAATATTTCTACCAAAAATGCGTATGGATGCAGATTATACTATGGAAGGCAAAATATTGCTTATACCATTGCAAGGAAAAGGCACGATATTTATAGAAATTGGTAATGAACAAATTTACTACTCATAAATAATTCTAAATTTTATCAATAATGAAACATTTTTTCCAGAAAATTTAGATATATATATGCATACAATCACACAGCTTTACGAGAAAGGCGGCTTTACTTTCGATAATATAACTAATATTAATGTTGATCTTAACATGACCCGTGTACGCACACATCTCACCAATTTATTCAATGGAGCCAGTAAGGAGGTAGAGGACAGCACAAATAAATTCTTCAATGACAATTGGAGAGATTTTTACGAAGCACTTAAGCCTATTATTGTGGAAACAGTTGAAGGCATTTTATACGATGTAATGAGTAAAGTTTTTCATCTTATACCAGCAAACTTCTTCGTTGAAGATATACCAACTTCAGAAAAATTATATGGAAAGGCAAATACAGCCTAAATTTCTTATGTGATATTAATCAGATATTTTATTATTTTTTTTATAATTTAAAAATATTTAACGTTAATTCATTATTATTTATACTTAATTATATATTTAAGATTTTTTGCAAGTCATACGTTGCTTTACAAAAAATATATTCTACAATGTCAATGTTAAACATTTTTCACCTTTGCTACCTTCACAATAATTTTTAGTTTTAATTATGGTTATTGTTAATATATTTAATATCAACTAATCATTATTATAAAATACATATGTTAGACGTTTTATATATTGTATATATTTTCAAAACTGTGACGTTACTAGAGTTTATATAAATAATGGTTTTCTACACACCATAAAACATAAAGAGAACTTCTAAAGCCAACAATTATTTATAAATATATATATATATAAATGTAAACACAATTTATAACATATATATAAACATATATATATATATATTAGCATTGAAATTCTTGCATTGTTTTTTTCTATGCACGTTTTTTTGATTGATCGTACATACAAGTGTAATACTTTTTGTATAAACTTGTTTGATTTATAGATATTTAATCACTCTTACTAAAGTAAGCTAAAATAGTTAGAGCTTCGAGTTTATTAATTTAAATATTTATTTTTAAATGTGAATATTATATATATTTTTAAGAATATATATATAGTTAATTATCAAATTATACATTCTGAGTACTTTTTAGTTCTTGATGTGTAGTTAATGTTATATATTAATTTAAATATCATATAATATCATATATATTTTAAAAATATATATAAAGTTAACTATCAAATCATAGTTTTTGAGTATTTTTCAGTTCTTGATATGTAGTTTATGTTATTATATTAATTTTGATATCATATATCATATAATATCATATATATTTTAAAGAATATATATAAAGTTAACTATCAAATCATAGTTTTTGAGTATTTTTCAGTTCTTGATATGTAGTTAATGTTATTATATTAATTTGGCTCGGAATATGTTTAATCTTCATAAATATATTTTACAAAAAGTTCTAAATAGAATACAAGTCTTTTATTAAATTGAAATACTGAAATATTAATTAATATATATAAAGTATCTATCTTGAATAATCCAACAAATAGATTACTCCCGCTTTACATTAACAAATTATCAAAGATAATCGTAATAGGTTAAAGCTTGCTAGTTAAATGAAAATAGGTTTTAAATATCTTTAAAATATTTTTTAAAATGTTTAGCAGTAAAATTTATATTTTATTTTTATTGATATTCAAAATATTATATTCTGTAAAAAAAGTTGATAAAGCTCATAATTAGAAAATTAAAATAGATTTTTGAGCTTCGACTCATATTTTAAGACACACTCAGAAAAATTGTAACTTAATTCGAAATTTTATTTTTATCTCTATGTTAGGTCTTTGTAAATTACAAGACCTTCCTAAGTTTTAGTAAGTTTTCAAAAATGAACTGCAAAGATTGAAATCGTTGTCATTATTGTTTATTTGTAAATAGTATCAACTCGCCCATAACCTGTTTCTACATTATTTTTTTATAACCCTCACCTTATATATAATCATACGCTGCTTCAAAATCGAAAGACAGCTATAGTTAGGCCTACAGCAATATTAATTCGCAAGTGGTAACATTTCACAAACCATTTAAATTTGTCTCCGGCAAAAACACCATTCTTTATGTCTGATGGGATCAGAGCGCTATTGTAAAAACTCTTTCAGCCTGGCAAATCTGCTAATACACAACGCTATCGCCAACAAATGCTTAATTTAATTTAGGCATTAGTCGAAAAACGACCGCAATGGCCAAAATACATGCCATAGTGATTTTCTTACAGGACAGGTTTTTGGATTCATAGCCAAAAAAATTGATTTCTCTTCAAAAATTTGTGATTTCTTTACAAATCAAAACCGGAATAAATATCTATTATAAAATGAAATAAAAAATGTTTTAATAGCTTAAGTTCGCGTCATTTAAACATCTCCTGTTACTTTCTGACACATTTAGTACGCTCGAGACACTTGTAGAGCTTAGGTCCCACAAATTAACCGTTCAATACCCAAATACAAAAACAAATCACATTTTTTCTTTAAACAGTTAAAGAAAAACTCTATTAATACTTTGAAACATTTATATATCTGAAAAATTACTTTTATAAGTTTTCGATCTTCAACCCGCAAAAATATATATTTTTACCCAATATTATTACAAAATATGTTCTCTTCATACTTGTATATAAACAATACAACTTATATACATATAATAAATTATTCAACATGTAATTATTTATATTGAGCGTATTATTTAATTGAGCGTATAGTAACAATATTATAACAACATTTATAAATACGCAAATAATCCAAGTAAACAAATATGTAGGGAGTTAAATTACACATGTTGACTTATTGAATATTTTTATTTGCACTGTACTTAAAATGTACAATACAAAATTAATGCATAGCTCATAAGATTTTTTTATTTTAATTCTTAAA